ATTCAAGTTATATTCTACTTAGATGTAAAAAAATATGAGATTTGCATGAGTGTTGAATGTCATTCAATGCCACTAAGCAACATCTCTCTCCGGCTATACGGCAAACAACAGAACCAACACTGAACATGAAAATGACATGTTCAATTATGTTTGTTTCGTTAGTTTCAACTGTGCCGCTACGAGAGGTCACTTTTGTCGTTTCTTGTTGTTATTTTACATGTAAAATCTATGGTATTAGGCGAGGATGGAAATTTGCATACCCATTCTTGCCATTTAGCCGTTTTAAATGGTATGTGATAATCTCCATGTGGTTGTAATGGAATCTCAGTTAGTGGATACGGTAGCTCTTTGTTGAAACTTTCATAAAACAAGTTCACCAGCGTCCCTGCTTCTCGCCCTGCACGATTCGCTTCTTTCTTAGTAAGCCGTAATAAAGCACGCGCTTGCTTTACACGTTTTTTTTTCCATCCATTTTTCTAAAATTGAACTCAATTTAAATTTCAATTAATTTCACTGGATTTCTTACGATGGGCAGAATGTACACAACAATCATACAGCAAATGTAGTTACTATTCTCACTAATGACTTGAAAAAAAAACTGAACACAAAGGACAATGCACTCACAAAAATGACAAGCAGTAGTAGCATAAAATGAATTGTAGAGACAAGTGATTAAGCAATGGCTGGATGACGCATATCGTTGAGCAGGTAAGATGAGCTTGTTTGATCGTCATCTATACGTACATAGAAAACTAAACCGGCCCGGATAAAAACAGTAAATAATTATAAATGAACTCCTTGTCTTTGTAAATTCTCTCAAATTGCAATCCTTTTTATAGAGAAATCTTATTGAATGAATTTGTCATAGTAAATTACATCAATTGCATTTGAAATACTGTAGGTTATGATCACCACCTTAAAAACGGTGTAATAAATTTGTTTAATCTTCCATTCTTGCCGAATAAGTGGCTTCAATTCACTTGTAACCAAAGAATTCAAAAAATATCAGACATTTGTACTATGGTCTTTATTTCATTTCAAGAAGTTTGTTCGTTCGTTACAATTAGTTTTCCTATCAAAAATACTGTCGAATAATACAGAATATGAATGATGATGATGTCAATACAAGACATGTGTCTTCTGTTGGATGCTCCGGCTCCAATGCACGTGAAACTATGCTGTCGATACTGGTGCGGCTGGATCAGCTGACGATGAAAATATCTGCATTTCTTTTTCTCTTTCTTCATCGTGGTATATGCGACGGCTCACCAGATTTGGGTGAAACCATAAATAGTAGAGTACCATGAAAAATACACCCACAATGAATGGAACGATTGACATAATGCACAGGATAAGGAAATAGTCTTCTTGTTTGTCTTCTTCTTTCGAGAATGTCACATAGAGAACCACACAAATGATATTTTCCAGAAAGCAAATCGAATAGAATGTGGCGTAACGATAGCGAGTCGGTCGTGCTTTTGGCAGAATATAATTGAAAATGAACACAAAGCCCAAAATGAGCGAGAAAAACAAACTGTGAATCAATGAATTCGAACAGAATGGTGACCGATCGAAAATGAATACCCATAGTCCCATTAGGATTGCATGAATTGAGAAACACAGCAATGTCCTGTAAAAAGAAAATTTAAATTGTATAATTTCATAGTGATTAAATTCGGTTTAAATATCACAAAAACCGTGGTATTGAGATATGTTGGGTATACGTACAGCTTTGGAAACAAACTCGCTACTATCGCTATGGATAAAATTCGAGATACTAGAATCGGAGATAAGAAAGACGGAAATGAAATCAGTAATCAAATGGAATGCAAATATGATTCAGTGAATTTTACCAGTAATGGTTAAATGCCAACTCGACTGCACAATGCTTCCAATCCATGAAATGTTAATTTTATCCAATTGAGATAGTCGAATACAGCGATGATATGAAGCGATACACCAAGCCATGCTAAACATTGAACTGCACAAGCTCAACATTTGTGGAGCTAAAAATTCAAATATTTGCATTAAATTTTAGATGTATTCAAACGACGGTCCAAATTATGCTATTAATACTTACTGCTGATTTTCTCTTCTCCAGACAAAATAATCGAAATTTGGAGTATTTTCTGCGGAGCTGCCTCTAAGAAACATTCGAATATTCTCACAAGAGCCACATCACTGTCTTCATTGACTAGCCGGGCATACCACTTCTTCTGCTCTTCTCGATCATTTCGAAATTCGGCTCGCTTACATTTCAGCGTGTAAATCAGTGTTTTCCAGTACCTGATTGATATTAAAGATTGCTGATTAGTTGGTCTTCTCTGTTGAATGTAGCAGATATGCTTACCGAAATACGATTGGAAAAATGATGACCGACCAAAAGATTTCGAAAATATTCAATTTCCGAATTGCTCCTTCTCTTCGATCCTCAGAATAGCTAAAGAATGGAATTCAAAAGAGGAACACATTGGCAATAATAGAAAAGTTCGAAAATCTATCCGATCTAATTGACTCACATCGACAATTGAAGAAACATCGTGACAAACATTGGAATGATGAAACAGCACATGGTCCATGTGAAGTGATGAACTTTGTCACCATGGAAATAATGTAATGCCAACAGCAAAGTGGAAATGATGCTCATAACGCGGCTGGCAATTGATATGATTGTAAATAAAATATCACATTTGTTCACGTCAATATCGTCACCATCGGGTAACGCATTCAAACTGTCGAGAATATCATTGACCCGCTCTTTAAGCGTTGCATCTGTTTCGGTGTTCACCTCCATTTCGACTGATTTACTTGTAACTAAACAACATTCAAATGAACAGCATCTTTTTCACCACAATAATTAGACTAACAAATTTGAGCATTGAGTAAAATCGTGTGTATTTATCACACATTTGTCGAGCAAAAGTATCGAATATTCAACAAGTAACACGCTTGTTTGGCTACCACACAACACAAACAATAAAACCCTCTGTGTGCAAATGTCAATAACAACAGCAATACCAGTAGACAAATAAACATGCACTATGACAACCCGACTTGAACTCTCACATGTAGTATTGCCGTTGTTAACAACATTCTGGAATGGACCAAACGATAAACAAAACATTTCCATGTACAAAACTTTTAACGTGTTTTTTTTTAATTTTTAATTCTTTGTTTTCTGCACCGTTTATGCATTTTTTTAAAGATTTTTTTTCTGTGTAAAATGAACTTAAAATTAGAAAAAAAGGCAAAGTTGCTTTAGAGAAATGTCCAAACTATGACAGTTGGTTCGAGCGAAAATTGTGGATCATCTCGTTGACGAATCTGTAGAATTCTTTTCTTTGTTCATTCTTTCGTCCGATGACTGGAATGAATGTAGTCGTGTTCCGAATTTCGGTGGCCGTTTCGAAAGTTCTTCAAATTTTCGCTTCGACTCTTTTGTATACTTGACACTAGTTCGTTCATTGTGACTCAGCACAGATCGCATTGTATTGGCCAAAAACCGTTTGTTTGTTCGTTGTGTTTTCATACGCCAACCACTCGGACCAATTTCTTCGGCCAATCTCGATGCACGCTGAGTTTCACGTTGAATCTCTTCAATGGCTCGACTAAAATTGGTAAAAATTGGAGGTAAATACCATTTGAAAATGGTGAAAAACCGATCCATTTTGCCAAACACTTACTTTGTTAAATCTACTTCACTTTCTTGGCTTTGTCCGTCTGTTTTGGCTGTAGACATTTTTGACTTTTTCGGAGAAACAGCTGTATGCTCGGTCTTGGGGGATTTTTGCTTACTTTTCAAACTTCGAAAGAATTTTTGCGCCAGCAATTGCTTCTTCTGCTCGTCAGAAGACATTTCGAGTGAATACAATGATTAATTTCAAAATCAATAATCATTCACTGAGAATTTTATTTGAGTGTTTTTTTTTTAAACAGACAAAACAAGTTTGATTTAAATATTGGAATTCGTCTATAATAATCGTCGAAGTGAGACTTGTCGACGTATTATTTTTATGTTTATTTACATGGAGCAATACGCTGGAAAGCCAATGACATTTGGCAGTTGAATGGAAAGCATTCCATTGACAGCGACCGTTTGACAGAACGAGATGGTGCTGTGTGTGCGTATACATTTGTTTCGGCATTTCAACGAGTTGAACAAGTGAAAAAAAATTGTGAAATGAATATCAATGTTGTTTGTAATTGTCGACCAAACTGTAATATTCGAATAACTGCTATGTAAGGAAATGTTGAAAAAAAAACATAATTTTCTTATGAATAAACTTGAATGACTTTTTTATTCACAATATTCCCAAAACATGTATATCAATCGAGGTAGATGAGTGTTCATAGTTTTTGTTCATTCTAATTTTCATACATATAAGTAGGTATATTATTTTCATCATAGATACACCGATCCCACTAAAATGAATCAAACTCGACTTAATAAAACGTGAATTTATCGAATTAAAATGTAAATCATACCCAGTATTTATATTCATCGCTTTTGAACGGTATGTCAAATGTTCCAGGAAAGTTTATGTATTCGTCTGACAATTCAGGCGGTTTTGAACACGCTGTTTCTACTACCAGTAAATATTCCGTAAGATCTTTACGCCACTGAAGATTATTCTCCTGATGTCTACGCTTAACTCCAGCGAATAGCTCTTGGAGCGCAGTCACTTCTGGCTCCAGACTTCTCGGTGTATCATTCCCATCTCTTCTGTAAAATCCTTCTCCCCACTTAAAGAGATAGAAAACAATTCAAGTTATATTCTACTTAGATGTAAAAAATATGAGATTTGCATACCCATTCTTGCCATTTAGCCGTTTTAAATGGTATGTGATAATCTTCATGTCGGTGTAATGGAATCTCAGTTAGTGGATACGGTAGCTCTTCGTTGAAACTTTCATAAAACAAGTTCTCCAGCGTTACTCTTTCTCGCCTTGCACGATTCTCTCCTTGGGTACTAAGCCGTACTGAAGCACGCGCTTGCTTCACACGTTGTTTCCTTTCATCCATTTTCCTAAAATTGAACTCAATTTGAATTTCAATCAATTTCACTAGATTTCCTATTATATGAACATTATTTACGCTTTCTTTATACAGTTTGACAAAGAAAATGGACATTTTATTTACGATGATTTGGAATGATGGATATTATGCATAATAAACAATGGATACAAGTGAACTTTTCACTTTTTACTAGTTCAAAATCAATAATCTTCCATTGAAAATTCTATTGAATGTTTCGAAAAGATAGAACAAATTTCATTTAAATATCGATTAGGAAAATCATCCAAATGTTGATATCTGTTGACGTATTTTTATTTACATACAGCTGGAAAGTCAATGACATTTGACAGATAAATGGAAGGTATTCCATTGACAATCATTCAATCAACAGCGTTTGCTGCAAAACGGATATCGACTGCTGTACACATTGTGCTCAAATCACAAGACTTCCGAAGTAATTTTGCGATTCCTTCGCGAATGCAAAGAATTCTTCAACCAGACAAGATCAAGATTGATCTAGGGGCCTAATCATTTTATATATAAAATTTTACTAAATAACGCGTATCCATCGTACTCATTTTTAATTTGTAGCATGTTTAATTTTTTTTAATATGTTTAATTTGTATAATTCTGTTATATTTTACTATTCTTACTGACATTATCAATTGTATTTAGCATGTTTAATGTGTCGAGGCTAAAACGAAGTGTTTAACAACGTAGATTCAATTTTGGAAGCTTTTTTGAAAGAAAAAAAAACAGATATTGTTTGAAAATGTATTATGAAAATGACAATGCTGAAAGATAAATTGTAAACCACACAATTTTAACTCAAAGAACTGACAATTTGTTCCCTGACTGATACTATTTTTTCACACGGGGTTTCTTATAGGGATATGATATATAGGACCAAATGTATTAAAATAATGAAACCTATCTGTGATTTTCAAGTTTTTATATTGTATAAACACACTGATATGTGATATAGCCATCTATTGAGCTTGTGATTTAAAAAGTTCAAACTTTATTCAGCCAGTCTCATTTGTTTACCTTACGTTTCAAATTATGGTCTAATGTTGAACTCAAAACACTCTACAACCAACATACACACAAGCGAATCCCCGTACAAAAGTCTGATTTTTACTCCTGTTAAGAGTGTATGCGTGATACTCCGTATCGGAACAAAAGATGGGAAATTTGTACGGGGATTTGCTTGTGTGTGATCTGCCTAAAGCAACCTAATGTTTTCGTCAATTTATATACTGTGGCTTCAATCTTTCATTCCAGCCGAATAAGTGACTTCAATTAAGTTTCAGATAAACTGGGATGTGGCTAGTTTTTGTAAAGAAATGTTGAAAAAAACATAATTTTTTATGAATAAACTTGAATGACTCTTCTATTCACAATATTCCCAAAACATGTATATCAATCGAGGTAGATGAGTGTTCATAGTTTTTGTTCATTCTAATTTTCGTAACAAGTCAAAGTCTTGCAGGAAATATAACGCTTGATGCTATGGAGCTGGCTATGGACAAACGATCCTGCTCCACCATTTCGGA